GGCTTGTGCCACCACGGCCCAGAGCTGCAAGTGCTTTTAACTGCTAAACCATTTCTCAGGTCCTTGGCCTGGAACTCTTAATTCTCCAGTCTCAATCTGCCTGTTGCTAGGATTATAGGCATGCACCATCACACAAGGAATAATTTTTGCTTGTTTTTAGGTGCTAGGGACTTATCAGAGAGCTTCAGGAATGCTAAGCAAACACTCTTCCACACTAGACACACTTCCAGTAGGTTCTAACAGGAACTATACTTCTGTGTCCCCTAGGTAGATACAAGATGACAGACGAGGTCTCCCCTTGTTGACATGCTATACAGCTGCATGGGGCTTGGGGATAACCTCTGCTAGCAACAGGGATCACAAGAGAGAGAAACCGCAGCCCTTACAGCCTCCTGTGAAACAGGTTTGTACCAGAGATCAGAGGCCCTGTTCCAACCCAGGCCCCACCTTAGCTATGAGACAGGCATCCGATGAGCCTACCACATGTCTGGAGTCCTCTGGAAACCAAAAGAGCATGGCTACAGACACCGCTAATACACGGCACTTCCAACAGACACTGCTAATACACCACGGCACTTCCAACAGACACCGCTAATACACGGCACTTCCAACAGACACTGCTAATACACCACGGCACTTCCAAGTCTAAAATTTCTGAATCTAAATGATTTAGATGAAGACATCTTCCTAGTGACAGCAGCTGTCAGCCCCCCACCCCCGAAGCCTAGTCAATAACTTCCCACCAGACTTACCTTTAGTTCAAAGTTTTTTGTTTGGTTGGCTTTTGGGGGGTTATCTTTAATTAAAGTTAGCCCATAAAGGGCTATGGAATGTCTCATCCAGTAAAAGCACTTTGCCACTAAGCCTGGTGACCTGAGCTCTATCCCCAGGACCCACTTGGGATAAGAAGATCTCCACATGGCAAGCACACACATATACAAATAAATGTATTTTTGTTTGATCATGGAGGGCTAGGGAGTTCTGTCAGTAATGTGAAGTGTGGAATCCAATCTCCACATCCTGGGGGGGGGGGGCATGGTGACTTGCTTGTAATCCTAACACTGGGGAGGCAGAAACAGGCAGATCCCTGGGGCTCACTAGCCAGTCAGCCTACCTGACTTGGCAAGCAGTTCCAGGCCAGTGAAAGGCCTCATTATCTAGAAAGAAAAAAATAAGCGATGATCTGAAGTCTAAGGAAGGACGCCCAAGGTTGTCCTCTGACTTTAATATGTACACCGGTACACACACAACCACAATTAATTCATGGAATTTTACTTCTTAAATTCCTTATTCTGACCCCCCCACCGTGTGTGTGTGTGTGTGTGTGTGTGTGTGTGTGTGTGTGTGTGTGTGTGTGTGTGTGTGTGTAACACTGGGGAAAAGTCCAGAGTTTCAGTCTTGCTAGGCTAACTTTCTTCCACTGAAATACACACAAACACACCATTAACCCTGCTCTAGACCGGAGCTCAGTTAGTTTTGTTTTCTCAGTCTCTCGGAGCTGTTCTCTTTCCTGGGACATTTTATGTGTTAAAATAAGACTGGACAGCGGAGTAGAAGTCAACACTATCCATAACACTATCCCTGGTTTTTTTTATTTCGATGAGTGTGCTGACTTTATGTTTTCAAGAAATGATTTTCCTTTTCCTGGATTAAACACTGCAAAGAGCAGGGTAAGGAAAAACAAACAGTGGCATTACCAGCACGTTCCTCCTCCATCCGCTATTAACTAGTGGTTCAGCCTGGAACAACAGCATTTGGGGGGTGAGGTGAGACAAGGAACAGGGTCTCATCACTGACTTCACACTTAGTATATAGCTGAGGATGACTTTGAACTCCAAAACCACCTCAGCCTCTTGCCTCCGTCTCCCAAGTGCTGGCACCAGCCACCACACCTCTACCTGGTAACCCCTAACTCTCCACCAGTACCAGACATCAGGTGGGGACAGGGGGTAAGGGGACAAAGACAAGACACTGACTCTCTAAAACCCAGGCATTTGCTTCCTTGGCAAAATCCCAGCTAGTGCTACTAATTAACAGCTGAAGTTAATCAGGGACAAGCTGCAGAAGGTCCACACAGGTTGCATCAAGTCCAAAGGAGCCAGAAGTTGAAGCGAAAGTTCAGCTACCAGAGAGTATTTCGTTTACAGTAACCGTCTTCTGCAGCCAGACACTCAAGTCCCTGGGCAGAGCTGAGTGTTAAGGTCAGCGGGGCACCACCCCCAGGGGATGGTAGAGTGTGGGGTGTTCCATCAGTTCAGACTCAAGTGTCTGACATCTGACCAGCTAAGTCTACTTTCCTTACCCATCAACTGACTTGGCTAATCTGAATTCTTCCTGTTTGAGAATTCCTATCTAAACAGCCCCCACTTGCTTCTCTGACAAAATACAGAAAAATTCCAAAACATGACCTCAGGATGGGAATGTAGCTCAGAAACGGTGTCTGCCTACCACATTCAAGGTCGTGTTCAATCCCCAGTACCACAAAGAGAATAAAATAAAATAAAAATAAAAGTTAAAATCAAAATATGACCTTCTAGAAACAGAATCATATTCACTTTAGTCTAAATGAGTTACAGTTAAATAATTTATAATTATCCTACAGGCAGAGTCTAGCTTACTTGGCCAATTAAGACATGGCATCCTGGCCAGGTGTGACAGTGCACACCTTTAATCCTGCACTTGAGAGGCTGAGTCAGGTGATCTCTGAGTCTTGAGGCCAGCATAATCTATGAAGGAAGGAAGGAAGGAGGGAGAGAGGAAGGGAGGAAAGAAGGAAGAAAGGAGGGAGGGAGAGGGGGAGGGAAGAAAGGAGGAAGAGAGGGAGGGAGGGAGAGAGAGAGGAAGGAAGGAAGGAAGGAAGGAAGGAAGGAAGGAAGGAAGGAAGGAAGGAAGGAAGGAAGGAAGGATGGACCGACTATCCACCTATCCACTCAATTGTAGTTAACAAATGTGGGGGAAAATGCTCAGCTTAAGAAAACACCAGAAGGCCGGGCAGTGGTGGCGCACGCCTTTAATCCCAGCACTCGGGAGGCAGAGGCAGGTGGATCTCTGTGAGTTCGAGACCAGCCTGGTCTACAAGAGCGAGTTCCAGGACAGCCTCCAAAGCCATAGAGAAACCCTGTCTTGAAAAAAAAAAAAAAAAAAACACCAGAAGAACACCAACCAAGATAAAGAGATGTATGTTAGCAAGAAAGAAAGGCTGAGTGGGGTGACACACACCTTTAATTGCAAATCTCTGGGCGTTTGAGGCCAGTCTGGTCTAGATAGTGAGTTCCAAGACAGCCAGGACTATCATAGAGAGACACTGTCTTAATACATAAAGGAAGATCCTAGAACTGGTTCTTTTCTTGATTATCTGACAGTCTTTGTACATTTCTCAAAGTCTCATCATTGCCCAAGGAGACAGAAGACAGCCTGTCCATGCAGCACCAGTGAGGGTATGTGTGTATGTGTGTGTGTGTGTGTGTGTGTGTGTGTGTAAGACAGCCTGTCCCCGTGTCCACGCAGCACCAGCGAGGGAGGGTGTGTGTGTGTTCAATCCCATTCATTTGTCTTTCTTCATTCCACAAAGCTGTATGCTGCTTCTCCATTAAAAAGATTAAGAGGCACCCAACCATCGGTTTTCCACTGTTTAAGATCAAGCTCAAACTGTTGCCATTCCTGAAATGCATGTAAACTCCAAAGCTTGTTGATAAGGCTGTGTGGGTGGCGGGTGGGGGCATGGCTAAGCTCTCCCTTAATCTTTGGCAGCCTGTGTCGTCGTTTTGTAAACTTCAGGCTACTTTGATCTTGCCTTGGATTGTCCTAGGGTCTCACCTTAACACTGGCGCCAGATGCCAAAGGAAGATTGCTCGCCCCTCTCCGGGAGCCAGCCATAGCGAGAGTAACACAAAAGCACAGGGCCCCTTTCACTAAGTAGTGAGTGGATCACATGTCTGATAGATTAAATGCACAGGTTTTAAATACAAATACGTGTGGATCGCTGATTTCCTTTGTTGCCACACCAAACCACACGAGTCTGTTTCAAATTGCCTTGATGGCTTCATGTTCTCGCTGTGAGTCCCTGAACAGACGCAAAGCACTTGTGAAATATCCAAAAAGGTGGAGAGGAGAAAGGGGAACGAAAGGGAAGCCCGGGCCAGAGTGACCCTTACTGAGTCACCGTTTCCTGAATGGCGGAGCTCGCTGTTGGGGGGGGGGGGGGGATCGAAAGAATGCAAGCTGACCTGCGCCTGCAGGCCGAGTCCTTGAGCGGGGAGCCCCCCACCCTGCAGCCCCGACACCCAAAGCCGGGCCCGGCGTGCTGGAGCGCCCTCCGGTGGCCACGCCGCAGGCCCCACCACTGGGGCTCTTCCTCAGACCACGCTCCCCGCCGTGGAAGGAACGAGACACGCAGAAAGTTTCCGACCCAGGCGGTCAGCAGAGGACAAGCCAGGTCCCGGGGGGAGCCTGGATGCTCTGGCTGGGCAGGAGCCAGCGCCCAGACCGGAGGCGACAAGAAGTTGGAGGTCTAGACCGACCCCTCCAGGCCTCTGACGTACCCCCGGGCGGGACTCTGGTCTGCAGATCCCACCCGCGCGGGATTTATCCCTGCAAGCCCACCTTGTAAAAAGGGACATGGGGACTGTGAATACCACCACAGGGGGTACCCTCGACACCCGGCTGCAAAGCATGCTTGGGCTCTTGTTGGACTCTCTCTGTGCATTTGCTTAATTGGAGGGAGGGGGCGCAGCAGTTCCCTGTGACGCATTGTGGTCCCCAGTAATCTGATTCTAGATGTCCCTGAAGAGCCCACCTGGACTGCCCCGCCCCACCCCCACGCCACCTTTCTTTCGCCCGGGTGATGAGTGGAAACGGCGAATACCCTGCCTCCTCCCCTCCAGCCTCCAGGTTTGGGCGCCAGGGTAGCACCCGGATTTCCCAGCCGCACGCCGTGGACACGCCGGCCGAGTGGTGGCGGCTGGAGACCAGGGGCGGGCGAGGCCCGGCGCGATGCCTACCTCGTCCACGGTGAGCGGCATGCAGATTCGGTACTCCTTCAACAGCATGGTCCTGCCGGCCGCGGACCGCTGGAAAGAAGGGGGCGTCCCAACAGACGAGCAAGGTTGGCGCCCAGCAGAAGGCAAGGGCACTGGGAGCCGGCGAGCGAAGCAGCCCCGGCGGTGCGCTCAGCTCCTGGCTGCCTCCGGTCCGCCCCGGAGCATGTCAGGCTTCGAGTCCCGGTGTCTGTGACTCCCCCGCCTCCTTCCTCGCGGAGATCAGCCCTCCCGGTATTGCAAAGTCAGGGACTGAGGGAGCGAGACCCGCGGGGAGATAGCTCAGATCGGCAGCCCGGGGCTGGTAGGCGCGGCCACCAGATCAGGACATGCCCGGCGGCGGGCAAAAGAGGCAAGAGGGAGGGAAAAAAGATTTCTACAAATTCAAACAAATGCACAAAAGTCACCCTCTCGAGCCTCGTCCGAAAGCAGAGCTGAACCTTGCGAGCCCCTTTTCCTCCGACCCGTCTACCCTGGGCTAATGCCACCAGGAACACATTGCCGCCGAAGCCGGCGATGCTGACTTTCCAAACAAAGGCTTGCTGGTCTCCTCTACCCGGGCGGTAAACAAGATTTCCTGCTCTTTTTTAGGGCCAGTCCTGGAGTCTCTCCGGAGCTCAGCTGGGAGAGAAAAGGGAAGCCGCGGCCGCCAGGGCTCTTCCCTGCTCTGGGCCCCGGGTGTCTTCAAGCTCAGAGGGTGGCTGCCAGCGCCTTGCGCGCGTCCCCTCCCCCGAGTCCCTCGGCTCTGCGAGCGCTGTGCGTGCCCGTGAGTTTGCAGCTACCTCGCCGCGTCTGGAGAGACCGCGCCGAGCTGCAGTGTGCCTGGGGCCGGGAGGTGGGTGCGGGAGGAGCGAGCGCGACCAGGCTGACATCAGCAGCGGCCGCGGCGGGGAGGGTAGCCCCATCCGGCCAATGGGGAAATGGCAAAGAATGTGGAGGATTTAAACAAAACAGCATGTCTCTCCCTGTCTGCTGCCAGACGCCAGGGCTGTCCCGGAACCCAGAGCAGCGAGTGCCGGGGAGGATCGCAAAAAGGGGCTATCCTGGACTGTTAAAACATTGAGTTCTGATTTCAAATGTACCCTGGGTGCCACGGGGCTCTCTGCTTAGTCGCTCTGGAAACACTCTGTTTCCAAAGTGCACAAGCGCCTTCTGACTTTGGGGGCGGGGGTCTTTACAAATGCCCACTGAGAACATTTTTCTCTCTGATTGGGGTAAGCAAAGCCTGAGCAAGAGAAGTGATGGTTTTGAGAATGTGTTTTTCGAACATGCTCTCGAGACGGAAACCTGCAGCAGTGTGGATGACAGCAAAGTAGAAACACGCACACACATACACACACACACATACAGAGAGAGAGAGAGAGAGAGAGAGAGAGAGACAGAGAGAGAGAGAGAGAGAGAGACAGAGAGAGAGAGAGAGACAGAGAGAGAGACAGAGAGAGAGACAGAGAGAGAGACAGAGAGAGAGAGAGAGAGAGAGAGAGAGACAGACAGAGAGAGAGAGAGAGAGAGAGAGAGAGAGAGAGAGAGAGAGAGAGAGAGAGAGACCTGCCATCGCCTGTTACCTCGCCCTGGCTCTGCAGTCCTACTGCAGGCTTCCCAGAGCAGAAAGAATAGGTTTTCGTGTCAGCACTCCTAAGTTCAAAAAGTCACAGTGAAATGTCAATAAAAATGCCTGGGGTGTTGGTATTTCATCCATATTAAACAGATCTCTCATTTTAACCCCAAGAAGCACATTCTTCAGTTACTCAGGAAGCAGCATGTAACTGCTGAAGTCTGGTTTTCATTTGTCTGGTATTCATTTTTTAAGCTTGTTTTTCTAGAAATGAAAAAAAAAATGCATTCATTGTGTATAGGAGGATAATTTCTAAGCATCATTGATTCTCAAATACATATACATAGATATGTATATGTGTGTGTGTGTGCTTGTGAGTTCTGGTGACCCACGTCTACTCAAAGATTTACACTGGGCAATGCAGATTATGCAGGCTTCAATAATATAGTATTTTTAAATTGTAATCTGGCTGAATTTGTGGATTCAGTCTGCTAGGAAATGACACCTTAAATCTAGTTTATATTTGGTTAAAAAGAAAAACCGCCGGGTGTTGGTGGCACACGCCTTTAATCCTAGCACTCCAGAGGCAGAGGCAGGCAGATTTCTATGAGTTCGAGGCCAGCCTGGTCTACAGAGCAAGTTCCAGGACAGCCTCCAAAACCATAGAGAGAAATCCTGTCTCGAAAAACCAAAAAAAAAAAAAAAAAAAAGAAAAAGAAAAAAAGAAAGAAAGAAGAAAAGAAAAAGAAAAACCAATGGGGGTGCGGGAGAGGGAACTGAGAGTGACGTGTGTAAAAAGTTAAATAAAAAAATATGAAAAAAACGAAAGAAAACACCAAGGCTGGGTGGTGTGGTACATGCTTTTAATTCCAGCACTCGGGAGGCAGGGGCTGGAGGATGTCTGTTTTGAGGCCAGCCTGGTCTATGGAGTTCCAGAACAGGCTCTAAAGTTACATAGAGAAACCCTGTCTCAAAAAGTAAATAAATAAATAAACAAACCTATTTTCTAGATAAAAACTTCCCAAAGTCAGCTCAGAAGCATTTACATTTAGCTAATTAAAGCTAAACCAAGCCGGGCGTTGGTGGCGCACGCCTTTAATCCCAGCACTCGGGAGGCAGAGGCAGGCGGATCTCTGTGAGTTCGAGGCCAGCCTGGTCTACAAGAGCTAGTTCCAGGACAGCCTCCAAAGCCACAGAGAAACCCTGTCTCTAAAAACCAAAAAAAAAAAAAAAAAAAAAAAGCTAAGCCAAATTCCTTGAGGTAGAGAATTTGTTTTCATTTTTAGAACACAGTTTCTCTGTGTAACAGTCCTGGCTGTCCTGGAACTCACTCTGTAGACCAGGCTGGCTTCAGAACACAGAGATTCTCCTGCCTCTGCCTCCCAAGTGCTGAAAATAAAGGCGTGCGCCGCCATCACCACCCTTTGAGGTACAAAATTAGAGAATTTAAATCTGACACTGTACTGTTGAATAATAACACAATGGAAGCCAGTGAGAAAAAAAAAAAGCTTGCTTTCTTTCTTTTTTTGTTTTCTTTTTCCTTAGTGGCACTTAATCACCTTTGCAGTGGCATGTCCTACACAGATCCTCCCGTGTATCTTAAATTATCTCTAGACTACTTACGATGTCTCATGCAATATACATGCTACATAAATAGTTGTTACACTGCATTGTTCAGAGAATAATGACAGGGAAACATCTGCATGTGTTCAGTACAGTAGTGTTTTCTATCTGGGTTGGGGGGGTGAATCAACAGGCTCGGAGCCCAGTCGATGCTGGCTGACTGTTCTCTCCCACCTCCTGTTGCAAGATGGCTTCCCCCAATGAATTCTCTTTTCCCTCTTCATCAGCTTCTTTATTGTCTGGTCACACTAAGAATGTGCAAGCACAGCTCTAATGCTAGCACCTTGAAAGCCTTTTGGTGATGGCAGGCTCTGAGGCTGTCTCTCCCATGTCAGCCCACTAGTATTTCCTAACCCTGATGGCTGCAGAAGACCGCCACCTTGCTGCTTTGGTCCTTCTGCTCATCCCATTGCCTTCTCAGAGGATCCTTCATGCCATCCCAGACCTTGTGGCATCATTTTAAAGGCAAACATTGGCTACCTGAGTGTTATGGCAAGTGGTGCTGACGTAACACGCTGAATTGGTTAGGACACAATACCAGAGGTGACTGTATTAACATAATACTACAGGAAACATGTGGTAACATATGGACTAGACAGAGAATGAAGACCAGAGGAGGAATATAAACAATCTGGGCAGGAATTAGGGTTGGCTGGTAGTCATTACTATGGTTCTTGTTCTGGGGTTAAGAAGAGTTCATTCATAACTCATTTAGTGTAAGGGAGAGAGTGCCATCTACTGGTCAAGGGTGAATGCTTGCAAATATTTCAAGTCCTGCCTTCACCAGCATGTGCATGACAAAAACTGTACCATTTCTGTTTTTGTTTTTCGAGACAGGGATTCTCTGTAGCCCTGGCTGTCTTGGAATTCATTTTGTAGACTAGAATGACCTCAAAAACAGAGATCTGCCTGCCTCTGCCTCCCCAGTGCTGAGATTGAAGGCGTGCACCACAATGCTTGGCCATACCTTTGTTTCTCTTAAGCCAATGAAGGGTGATGCTATCCTGGTAATGGTCGGTAAGAAGGTTCCATTAATGGTGGGAGATCTGTAGCTGGCAGTCATCACATATAAAAATGAGTATAGGGCACAGAGGAAGTAAAGATATCACGTGTTGACTTGAGATAGATGTGGGGGGGGGGGTCACTGCAAGGTATTTAACAGCATTCTTGGTTTCGCTTAATTAAATGTGCCAACCCTCCCCCATCCAGTATTCGGCTGTGTTGGAGAAGGGGTTATGGAATCAGAGTAAGATTCATCAGTCATATGCTAGTGTCTGTCGGCTCCAAACTTGATTTAGATTAACTTTCAGCTTGTCCAAATAGAACTGGAGTGGGGGGGTGGGGAGCTGGCCCTGGGGTGTAGTTCACTAAGAGAACACTCATGTTCAAAGCCCTGGGCTCTTCTAGCTCTGCAGTGAATGAATTGAAGAAGGAAGATGATTTTTAAAAAAAATAGCCGCTGGGCGTTGGTGGTACACGCCTTTAATCCCAGCACTCAGGAGGCAGAGGCGGGCGGATCTCTGTGTGTTCAAGGCCAGCCTGGTCTACAGAGTGAGTTCCAGGACAGCCTCCAAACAATACAGAGAAACCCTGTCTCGAACCCCCCCCCCAAAATAGCCTTATGGGCTTGAGAGATGGCTCGGTGGTTAAAAGCGCTTGTGCTCTCTAGAGGACGCCAGTTCATGTTGGGAGCTGTGCAGCCTGGTCTCAGATCAGTATGAATGCCTGTCCAATGGATCTCCTCCAGGCAAGACTGGTGCGGATGGTCTCTCACTTGACAAGAACCAGTGGACCACAGGGCAGGATTCTGCTGAATTCACGAAGCTTGCAGGCTCTTTTATCTCTTGTTTTATTGTTGATTCCTTTGGCAGTTTTTAATTTCATTTTGTCAATCACCACATGAAATAGCTGTAATTTCCCCCGGAAATTTTGTTCTTTCACGAATGTTTTCCCCTTAGAATCAGCAGGGGGCTAATGCTTATCAAATTTGTTATCTGGAATTACTAACTACAACTCCTAATCCTGCAAACTTTTCTGATTCAATAGAGACAGTTAGGCACATATGAAAAAACAACGCTTGGAGGATTAACCATGCCTCACAGTTCTGGGAAGGAGAGTAAGGCATGCATACACAGAATAGGGGAGAGCCTCAGGAATATGCATAGTGCCAACTGTTGAGAGTAAGTTCCCTGGACACCAAGAATATAGAACCAATGGTAGGATCTGCTATGCTCCAAGAGGGGAAAATGCAATACAAAATGTGGGATGGAGAGATCCATCTTTACCCTCCACAGGAGCTTATAATGGGGGGAAGGTATGGAATAGGGGGTGGGGAAAGAGTACCTTACCAAAGTCTGCCTTTTACAGACTGAGACATGGGGCCCTCTTGTAGAAGAGGGAACTGTATCTTCAGACATGAAATAACTGTCTGGGTTTGAATATTGTTGTCCTTAGAGCGTTCTACCCATGCCTATTACTTTTTAACTTTGTAACTGCCGGCTAACACAGTGCTGCAAGAGCAGGATATGTCAGGCTCCATATTTAGTTAAGCCTGCAAAAAATGCTGAACTCTGTCTAGAATAAGGTTATGTAGGGGTGGCAAAGTGTATTTGGGGAAGCATAAAGGGGAACAATGGGGGCTTTTTAAAAAAGATTTATTTATTACATATACAGTGTTCTGCCTACATGCCAGAAGAGA